TTCCAAGTCTAAGTCTTGTGCCTAACGCTCACCACATAAGCTACCTCGGTAAGAGTAAAAGTGTGCATCTCTGGATTGAGTTGCTAATGTATTCTGTCCCAGATGTAACTTGAACTCCAAGGCTAAATCTTGTGGCTAACCCTGACCACTTAAGCTACCTCGGTAAGAGTAAAAGTGTGCATCTCTGGATTGAGTTGCTAATGTATTCTGTCCCAGATGCCAACTAAGGGTTTGGAATCTCTTCCCTTAGGAAAAGCAGGGACTAGTGAAAAGAGGTTCTGGTGGCAAATTGTCTGGAAACCAGAGAGGGTATAGACCATCTCGTGGTTTGTTGTTTAATGTACTGAAAAGTACAGGATTGCCTGTCATCCCTGGACTGGACTAGGGGGGGGTTAATCCTGTACACACATGAAGAACACTTCTTAAATAAAGTTATCAGAGACATGACTGAAGTCTCAGACAGAGAGTGAAAACAGAGACATCCCTAACTAATAACCAGGAAAACTCACGGAGAGCTACAAGTTCAATCATTTCATGGCAGGAAAGAATGAACTGAGGGAGAGGGGGAGCCTCAGAGCATATGACCATTTAGGCAGGAAAATGGCTTTGCGCACTCCAAAGGGGAGGTGCTCCCTCCTTTAGGCTTTTAAAGGACTAGAAGTAACTAAAAAGATTTCTGAGCAGCTGGGCTGTGTGTGCTGTGCACAGTTCCAATGTGGGACTGTACAGAAGACCAATGATGAACAACTGGTAACCAGAGCAAATCCAAAAGAATGCACTAAAAAAATCTGGAAACAAAGTCAGTAAATGTCTCCCGTCTCATGGTTTCAACAGCTGAAGGACAGCCAGTGCAAGACTATATACAGAAGACATTTTGGAGAAAGTGGGCAATAATAGCCTGTAATACTGGATGACAGAGAGTAATACAATGTTCCTTTTTCCTGACAATCCCTTCCTTAAATCAGGATGGAGCAAGGATGCCCTCCATACCTCAGAGTACAAGGGAAAATCATGATGTCTAGTCATTTCATTCTCATTCACACAATGAAGACATTCTTGACTGACAGGATGTTCCAAAGCAGTATTCCCATTCAGAGATGGTTGATTCCCAATCAAGAAGAGGTACATTATGCCAACCTGGATAGGCCAGGCAAACCCAATCTCATCAGATTTTGGAAGTTAAGCAGGGCCGACTCTGGCAAGTACTTAGAAGGGCAACCTCCATAGAATACCAGAGGTGGGATGCAGAGGCAGCTAATCAAGCCACCTCTCTGAAAAACATCCAAGCCCCCAGTAAGAGTCACCAGAGGAAAAGCAGGGACTAGTGAAAAGAGGTTCTGGTGGCAAATTGTCTGGAAACCAGAGAGGGTATAGACCATCTCGTGGTTTGTTGTTTAATGTACTGAAAAGTACAGGATTGCCTGTCATCCCTGGACTGGACTAGGGGGGGGTTAATCCTGTACACACATGAAGAACACTTCTTAAATAAAGTTATCAGAGACATGACTGAAGTCTCAGACAGAGAGTGAAAACAGAGACATCCCTAACTAATAACCAGGAAAACTCACGGAGAGCTACAAGTTCAATCATTTCATGGCAGGAAAGAATGAACTGAGGGAGAGGGGGAGCCTCAGAGCATATGACCATTTAGGCAGGAAAATGGCTTTGCGCACTCCAAAGGGGAGGTGCTCCCTCCTTTAGGCTTTTAAAGGACTAGAAGTAACTAAAAAGATTTCTGAGCAGCTGGGCTGTGTGTGCTGTGCACAGTTCCAATGTGGGACTGTACAGAAGACCAATGATGAACAACTGGTAACCAGAGCAAATCCAAAAGAATGCACTAAAAAAATCTGGAAACAAAGTCAGTAAATGTCTCCCGTCTCATGGTTTCAACAGCTGAAGGACAGCCAGTGCAAGACTATATACAGAAGACATTTTGGAGAAAGTGGGCAATAATAGCCTGTAATACTGGATGACAGAGAGTAATACAATGTTCCTTTTTCCTGACAATCCCTTCCTTAAATCAGGATGGAGCAAGGATGCCCTCCATAGAGTACAAGGGAAAATCATGATAAGTCTAGTCATTTCATTCTCATTCACACAATGAAGACATTCTTGACTGACAGGATGTTCCAAAGCAGTATTCCCATTCAGAGATGGTTGATTCCCAATCAAGAAGAGGTACAGTATGCCAACCTGGATAGGCCAGGCAAACCCAATCTCATCAGATTTTGGAAGTTAAGCAGGGCCGACTCTGGCAAGTACTTAGAAGGGCAACCTCCATGGAATACCAGAGGTGGGATGCAGAGGCAGCTAATCAAGCCACCTCTCTGAAAAACATCCAAGCCCCCAGTAAGAGTCACCAGAAGTCACCATGACTTTCAGGCAAGCACACAGACACACACTCTCTCTCTCCCCCTCTATGAAATATGGTACTTCTATAGAACCCTGCATCTAAAGGGCATATCCGCAAAGACAACTGAAGTAATTTTATGTCTGACAAATGTTAAGGTAGACATCAGCATTACTGCTTTAATCTTCAAGGGAAACACTGGTGTTAAATGTAATCGACATAGATGCTCTTCAGATGAAACAGGCCACTCTTGGATCCTGCTAGAGAGGTGGTTTGGCTTCCAGTCCCCTGAAAAGTTGACTGTATTTTATCTGTGCTAAAAGTACCTGAACAATTTTTAATCTTCTGTGAAAGTGAACCAATTAGTGAATAAGGCCCAAGCAATGCTATATATAATAAGGATAATACAGGTGGTGTTGGGAAATACTGAACAAATAAAACCCTTCTTACACAGTCTCTAGTATAAGCAAAATTCTCTTCCAACAAAGACGGATTACAAAAATTTTGCAGAATGCTAAGCAAGCATCGACGGTCCCACTCATCAGTTATACGGCCTCCATATACTACTTCTCCAGTTAAATAATAGAGTGCTGCCCAAGGAACATCCTCTTGCTTGTCAAGAAGTATCTCTAGCATCTGGATAGAAACCTTGGGAAGAAAAAGTTAAAATTGGGAAAGGTGTTTACAGCTTCAGCATTACTCTTATACTTATTTCTTGTCCTCATAGTTTTTTAAACATTAAACCCAGGGCTATTTTTGGGCAAGAACGCACAGGAACGGAGTTCCGGCTGGCTCCCGAGTTGGCCACGCCCAGCAGGAACTCATTAGCATAGTAGGCCCCACCCAACAGCAGAAACTCATTAGGATTGGCTACATTAGGGGTGTGTGGCCTAACATGCAAAGGAGTTCCTGCTACAAAAAAAGCCCTGGGTTTTGACAACAGACAAGGTAAACAGAATAAGAAGCAAAAGGTGGGCGTGGCTGGATGACCACAGTTCTGGTAATGTGGGGGTGTGGCCTAACATGCTAATGAGCTGTGCTGTCAGGGGGTGTGGCCTAATATGCTAATGAGTTTCTGCTGTTGGTTGTGGCCTATTATGCTAATGAGTTCCTGCTGGGCTTTTTCTACAAAAAAAGCCCTTATTAAACCTACATGAATAATTTCTGTCTGCAAATATTCCATCCACTAAAGTTGCTGCTAGTTTTGTATACCTGACCTTTTTTACAGTAGAATCCAGAATAGCTTCAAACCCATACCAGTCCTCATCAGGTTCCATCTAGACTTAGAGGTTTAGAGTTTACTCACTATTTCTTCCAAACCTCACACGAATCAAATTCAAACCACAAATGCACTAAATTCCCTCACAGTCTCAAGCTACAATGCCCCCCAATCCTGATACAGCCAACACATTATACATACAAAAACAGCTGCTTCATCTTCCACAGCCACAGTAGCTAGACTGCATTAACACCCATGCATTGTACAGGCAGAGAATGGTTTTCTTATCTATGGTACTGTAGGGTATCAGTGGTCTGGACCTTTCATACCACTGCTATTAAAGTCCCAGCCCCCTTTGATACATTGCCAGGTTTAAAAGTAGTGGTTAGAGCAGGGGTGTCAAACATGCGGCCTATGGACCACATCCAGACCCCACAGGGGTTGTATCAGGCTGTCAAGCAGCTGGCTGCCATCTCATTACTTCTCCCTCTCTCTTGCTTTCTTCTGCATCACAGCTTGCTTTGCCAGGCTCTCTCAATCGCACAGCAGAGCCAGAGAGCAAAGCCTTCCATTGGCTCAGGCTCCTCCCTTGGGAAGGAAGAGGGGGGAAAGAGAGAGAGCTTGCTTTGTCAGGGCCTCTCAATCACACAGCAGAGCTACAGAGCAAAGCCTCTCTTCCTTCCATTGGCTGAGGCTCCTCCCGCTCCTCATCTCCTGGGCTTGCTTTCCCAGTTCCCTCAATTGAATGGGAGAGATACAAAGAAAGCACCTTTAAGGTATGAGTTTTTTGCATCTTCTCTCTTTTCTACTTGCAACCCCTCTCAATTTTCCTGCTTTTGATCTCCAGTCCAGTGTACACTCTCTTCTTTGTCTGGACCCAATAGCATAGACTTCCTTCTGTTTCTTTCTCTCTGCATCCAGAAGCTCTCTGTTCTCTTATCAGTTCAAACCCCTCTTTTCCCCTCCACGTGCCATTCTCCTTTCCCTCTCTGTGCAATGACATTCCTTCTTTGTACCCAAAACTTTGTGTTGTGTGTGTGTGTGTGTGTGTGTGTGTGTGTGAGAGAGAGAGAGAGAGAGAGAGAGAGAGAGAGATTTGTTGGGTTTGTTATGCCAGGGATCTCCTGGGTGTGCCTCTCCTTGTTCACTGTATTCATGCCCTCATGATCCAGCCTTTCTCAGTAGAAAAGATAAGGAATAAGAATTTAGATAAAGTATAACAACAAGACAGTGAGGTGGATTAGGCTGAGAGTGTGTGTTCAAACCAAGTTTATCCAGCACATTTCCCTTCTAGACTGGGAATTTGGAACCTAGACTTCCCAGACAGTAGGCTGATATCTATATATCTAATTCCCAACATGCCCCCTCCGTGTGGATATCGAAATCAGTATATTGGGGGCACTTGGGGGGCAGGGAGATTTTCCTGTACATTTGGGGCAATCCCCAGATGTGCACAAAAATCTAAAAACTGTAAATATTTAAATCCCCCAAAATGTAGAAAAGTATTCACTGTGCATGTGCAGGGAATGCACTGGGAACGGTGCCTCGCAGCCGTTGCGGGGGGGGGCTTGGTGGGCCTGCAGCTGCATGGGCCTTGCTGTCGCTGCTGGGGAAGGAGAAGGTTTGTCTGCAAGTATTTAAATCCCCCCAAAAGTGTGTAGTTGGGCTGTGGCGGCGGCTTGGCGCTGTGGAAGAGCAGGCGGTCGTGGAGCCTCCCCCCCACTGCTCCCCACCCGCAGCCAGCACTGGGCCACCTGGCTGCTGCTGCTGCCCCAACGCCTGCTCGCTGGCTGGTTTGGGGGGCCGGCCGGCGCAGCTGAGTCCCTGTGCCCGCCCATCGCGCTGTGGCTTTTCCCCTTCCCTCCGCAGCTGCCTTCTCTCCGCCTGGCACCCCCCTGATCTCCCGGCGGTCTGCCTCACCAGCTCCCTCACACACAGGAGCATGTCTACCCTTGCATGGCAGCCTGGCTTCACATCTGCACACCTCTCTCGCTTCCTCATCACTGAAGAGGCCCCCCTGTGAGTATCGCGGGTCCCTCTTCTTGTACATTACTATATCTCTAGTCTTGCACTGCCACATAGGAGTTGTAGCTATTTCTCTGACCGTGAGATTTCTGTAGTGAATGTCAATAAATCAAAAGTAGGTTTGTAACTTACAGATACACACCTGAACAACACCTGAACAGCATACTCAAGATTGCTACAGCACAGACATTGTCTCCAGATTTTGATGCAATAATTCAGAGCAAGAGGTGTCAGTTATCAATAAACAAAAAAATAAAATATTGCAAGAGTGCTAATGTTTTAAGCATGTTTTATGTTAATTTTTTTAAAAAAATCTTTATGTTTGTGCCCTTTATAAAGTTTATATCTCTCTGCTACCTGGCATTACATTTTATGACACACATGGCCCGGCCCAACAAGTTCTCATTTATGTCAGATCCGGCCCCCATAACAAATGAGTTTGACACCCCTGTATTAGAGTGTCAGACTAGGATCTGAGAGACCAAGGTTTGAATCCCCACTCCACCATGCAAGCTTGCCACAGAGAAGACGAGAATTATATAAGCCACTTTGGGTTCCCATTGGGGAGAAAGATGGGGTATCAGTGAGGTAAACAAATAAATAGAATTTTAATTGCCTTTTCTTCCTCTTACCTCCAGATCTGAAAAACTAAACTCATATGGAATATTCCAGCCCAAAGCTCCATATTTCTTTCTTTCATGGATGACAGCATTGAAAAAACACAGACTGAACAATAGCTTTTTCCATGATGGCCCACAGGTAGACTTGTTGAATATAACTTCTGTTACCTCTCCAGTACCACTTATCCCAAATGTTTGAAGTAATTTCCCCTTCAGTCCTTGTGGGGATTCAATTACTATCTTTAAATAATAAGCAGATGATGTATTAATATAGCATATAGACACTGGTAAGATAAATAGCACTTTTACTAGCAATGCAATCCTGAGAACATTTTCCTGGGAATAAATCCCATCAAATAAACAAGAGTAAGATTCTAAGTAGATCTGGAACAGCACAATCCTAAACTGAGTTCCATTACCCTGCTAAGGCCATTGCCTTAAACAGACATCAAGTGTAACTTTGTTTAGGATTGCACAAGCAATCACCTATAAGTTGACCCTCATTACATTACATGGAAGTTCCTGAAACCAGTATGACTTACTTCTGCTTCGACCCAATATAGAGGAAGTCAGTATTCTCTGGTGAAATCAATGGAACTTAAGAATATAACTGGGTATATTGCTCATTTATTTACTATCTTATTTATATAATTTTAACTATACTTATGGAAACTCAGTGTTATTCTGTATTACAGATTCCCCTGACAAAGCCTGTTGGCAAAACATGTTTTCTGGAGATTTTAATTGAGTAATAAAATATATTTTACCTGATTTTGCATCATCGGCTTTGGATCTATTATTTCTTATCTCCTGTGACGGGTGCAGCTCTTTATTTTCTTGTTACTAGCTCATTTACTTAAAATATTTTTACAATGTCCTTTTCATAGGTACAAGACAAAATTATGTAAACCGCTCTGCTCATGGCAGCTACTTTTTTCCTGGGTCCAATAGTCTGTCTGAATTGTGTACCACAAGAAGGTTCCACCATTTTTTTGCCTCTGCAAAATTTCTAAATGTGAACTGAGCACTGATCCCCAAATGTCAGTGCTTGCTCTCACTCACAATGACAAGTTACCCATCAGCAAGGAAAACTGGGAGAAAAGTCGCTAATTTTTTCTTGATTGTTTCCAAATTATTCTGGGAATAGTGATAGGGGACATGCTGTTCATCATGAGCATTTTTACATGATAGTCACACCAAATTTGATACAGAGCTACTGAAGCAGTGCTGCTTCTTCTGTTAGAAACTAGTTCTCATGTACTATTTGAAATGCTATAGAAATCTTCAAAGCCAATTTGACCGAAGGCCATGACAGGACAGAAAAAAGGAACAGGTTTAACATGGACAATGACACAATACAATTTTGAACAGAACGCCTCAGCTATTTTGAAATAGCAATATAAGTAAGCTAGTAATTTTTTTTCTGAATTCTGGCAAGTGAATTGATAAAGACTTTCCAGAATAACAGAAATGTAGAACTAAACATTTGGAGGAAAAGTATAAAATGACAGATTTCCAGATAACATCTCCTCCAAAAGTAGATAATGAACTATGATGACCTAGCCCAATTCCCTCACTCAGATTTTCCCTCTGTTTTTTCTTTCTCTCTGACTAAGCAGCCCCTTTATCTATTTTCTTCTTATCTGAAGATATATGGCTGTCCCACCCTTTCACTTTATTGTATTTTAATGCTGGCTCAGCCCAGGAACTTGAGGCAAGAGACATGATTAACCTCTTAACTTGGCGGGAAGGGCAGGGTATAAATCAAACTAATTAATTAATTAATTAACTTAAACTTCTGGAAATGGCACATGAGAGGCTTTAGAACGTTCAAAAATAAACAAAATAGTTTATTCAATGTAGATCAGGTGAATTCAGGGGTAAAATGTCTGAGGCGAATTAAATATAACTCTGAGGTAATTTACTATAATCACAAACTCCAGTTTTCACAAGGTCTTAGAGTCTTTGAGTAGAGAGGCTTTATTTTCAGTGTCTGATAAACAAACCAGGGGTCACTCTTCTCTTTGATCTATCTCCTTTTTCAACTGGGCAGGGAATTACTTCTCTAAACTAGAAGATCAATCCCTTTTTCTGGCTCAAATGAGCGTGTTCTGTGATCCTCTGACTTCTCCTTGCCAACCTTCCCACTTCTTAGTAGGGATGGCATTCGGTCTGGCTGAACTGAATAATAACCTGAATAATGCCTATTCAGCATTATCTGGGCATGCCAAGAGTTGAATCAGAACAGAGAATCTGGCCGAACAGGGATTCTTTGAATAGTGCATTTGTCACTGATTCAGGAATCCCTATGTTGGGGAGGCGCACCAGTAAAGGGAAGGTATTTTAACTTTAAATACTTCCTCTTACTTCTGGGGCTCATGATGCCTCTGCAGCGCAACTCCCCAGCTGACTGAGTCATGCTGCAGAGGTGGCACAAGCCCCAAAGGCAAGGGAAAGTGTTTAAAGTTAAAACACCTTCCTTTGGCAGGCCAGCTGGAGAGGGGAAGTGAAGGGGAGGCATTTAAAGATGCCTCTCTGACCGGTCTTTGCTTCCCCAGCCAGCCTGCCACAGGGCAGGATGGGGAAGCAAAGAGAGAGAAGGGGAGGCATTTTTAAATCTCTCTCCACTGTAATTCATTGTACTCCCTCCTTCTCTTTCCATTGTACTCTATAGAGCCATAAGATACAATGGAGAAGTCGCACTGCAACTCCAGAGAAGGGGTTTAAACTTTATACCTCTCTCTCGAGTCACACCACAGCAGCAGTATGATCTCTCCATTGTATTCTATGGTCCTCTTCACTTCATCTTGGCAGGCTGGCTGGGGAGGGGAAGTGAAGGGGAGGCATTTAAAGATGCCTCCCTGATCTGTCTTCGCTTTCCCAGTCGGCCTGTGGTGGTGGCCTGGCTGGGGAAGCTCAGGGGAGGGAGAGCAGGACAGTTTCACTCTCCCTCTGCTTGGAAGGGGAGGGGGAGTGAAACTGACATGCCGTACTGGCCAACCAAATATTTTCAGCAATGTTGAGTATTTCCCGAATCCCAGTATAATACCGATACTGGGATTCGGGAATATTGGCCTTTACCAATATTTCCCCCCATGCACACCCCTACTCCTTAGTGCTAAACTGATTTCTATTCAGCAGTCAGTTTCCAACTCTTTCTTCTCAACTGACTCTATCCAATGAAATCGTCTGAGCAGCCTGTCACTCAAAGGCTCTCTGGATCTGTGAAGCATTAACCCTTCACAGTCCATCACTTGTTTATACAGCACTTATGAGCTTCTAAAGCACAGTCTGTCACATGAACATTATATATATTTTCAAAAAGAACAATAGGGTAATTTTATACATCCATATTTTAGGACCAAAATATGTTGAGACGAAACAGTTTATACACCGCAAAGCATTTGTCTAAAATGGAAGATTTCTTTCACTTACCGTGAAGTTTCCTTTCTCAGTGGTTCAGGAGTGGGACGGTCCTTACTCTTGGGATAAGCTCCTCCAGTCACAGGGTCGGCTTCGAGCTTTGATCCAGGCGGGGAGGGGCTTATCCCCTGGAGGCATCCCAGTTGAATTCAAGCCTGCTTCACCCCACAAAAACTATTAGAAGGAAGAACACTTCTCCAAACTGGAGCAACTACTATAAATTAGTGAATCAGATAACTCAACTAACTTAACGACAGGTAAACTTTCCCTTTACAGATCCTAGTGGCGAGAGGAGGGGGGGGGACCTTTCCCCACTCCCTGTGTCCAATATATCAATCATTTGTGTGTAACCTGATAGTTTGCAAAGATCCCCCTGTAAAACCCTGAAGCCACACCCACAATTTGGGCAGGCAGAACTGTCCCACTCTTGAACCACTGAGAAAGGAAGCTTCATGGTAAGTGAAAGAAATCTTCCATTCTCCAATGGTTCATATCGTGGAATAGTTCTTATTCTTGGGACGTAAAACAGCAGTGCGCCCCAAGGGAGAGTCATTTTGCTTCCCTGTTTACAGGGTGTGTTGCAACACTCTGCGGCCAAAGGCCGCCTCTGCTGACGCCAACTTATCCACACCATAATGCTTAGTGAAGGAATGTACAGACTTCCAGGTGGCTGCTCTACAGATCGTTTCCAGTGAAGGGAACGACCTGTAGGCCGCTGACATTGCTGCTCCTTGTAAGGAATGTGCCACAATCCCCTTAAGGGGTTCTAGTCCCTTGGCCTTGTAAAATAGGATAATACAGCCTTTAATCCACCTGCTAAGGGTCGCAGTTGAGAGCTGTACCCTCAAGAGAGGACTGTCTAAAGGACACAAAAAGTGTTTCTGATTTTCTCCAATGCTTAGTCCTATTGATATAGAAACTAAGAGCCCTTCAAACATCCAGGCAATGCCATTCCCTTTCTTTATCATTTTTAGGGTTTGAGCAGAAGGTCGGCGAAACCACTTCCTCTGCCCTATGAAAAACAGAGTTTACCTTAGGCACAAAGGCTGGATCTAGGCGAAGGACCACCTTGTCTTTGTGAAAAACACAAAGTTCTCTATTGATTGACAGTGCCCTCATCTCCGACACTCTACGTGCCAAAGTTATGCCCACTAAAAATAATGTCTTAAAGGTCAATTCCTTTAGAGGGCATGTAGCCATTGGTTCGAAGGGATGCTTACACAGGGCCCTCAGTACAGTACTCAGATTCCAGGTAGGAAACCTATGCACCTGAGGAGGGTTTATTAAGGTGGCACCTCTAAAAAAAATTTTTAATGTGAGGGTGGTGACTTTCCGTGCCTCACCTCCTGAACAGCTGATATGGCTGAAACCTGTCTCTTCAATGTGCCAGTACTGAGACCTTTGTCTAAGCTGTCCTGCAGAAATCGCAGGATAGCACTGGCTGAAGCTTTGAAGGGTTCTATCTTATGCTCCACACACCAGGAGTGGAACACCTACCAGGTGGTGTTGTAAACTCTACTGGTGGATCCTTTCCTTGACGCTAACATGGTAGCTATGACCTTATCAGAGTATCATGCTGCTCCTAACAATTTCCGCTCAACCTCCATGCTGTGAGTCTGAACATTTCCAGTCGAGGATGTCATGTTAGCTCTTGTGTCAACAGGTCTTCTTGTATGGGCAGATGCCATGGTTCCACTATTGAGAGCTTTTCTAGGTCCTGAAACCACACTCTTCACGGCCAAAATGGTTCTACTAGTACAACTTCTGCCTTCTGTTAATGTATTTTTTGTATCACCCTGTGCATTATCTGCACTGGC